CCCTTCCGTGAAATGTGCTTTGAAAGCTCCACAATGTACGAATCTTACGTCGCATAAAGGCTAAAAAGGCTAATAAGGAGTAATTATCGAATAGACTCACCAACACAGCTCTGCCCATCGGGACCTAGATCGTACCCTGGTCTGCAGGTGCACTCAACGCTTTCTCCACCTCTGTAAAATAGAACATTTTCACAATGAATCATTACTATTTGCAGTGTATATCCTGGAGACGGGTAGGGCGTGACCGCTACATCAATTGAAGATGGCCAACATCGTTCTTCTTGGGATGTCTTCATATAGAACAACTGCCATCCTGTCTTGTGCCTGACAAAGACTCGGTTGCAATGGTCCCCGGACGGAAATATTCCTCTAAAAGCAACGCCGAAGTGAACTATAGCCACGCCCCTCCCTATCTCCTGGATATGACGTTCATTCCGAAAAGATGCATTTCGCAGTAAAAAGTAGGTCGCTTTTTATCAAAGGCTTTGGATTCTTCTGCAGAGCCCACATATGTGCATTCCATATTTCGGAGATGGGGAGGGAGCGGCTTGTCCCGTGCTCACCAATTGTTGGCACCGGCAAACAACAACGATTGGTGGAAAACGAGCTGGCCGCGCTGAATTTGGCTCCTCCTGACACGCCCACCGTCTGCAGCGATAACGACCATAGAGCCGATGGGACAGAAAACTATTAAAACGATTAGGGAATACAATCTGCATATGCTGTACTCAGGTAGTGCTTTGTCTTATTCTGCACGCCCATAAGCTATTGCGTGCCTTAGCACATTTATCAAATCGCATTGTCAAAAAGGGGCGCGACCGAGGGTGGAGCTTAGTTCGGGTCGCCTGTAGGTTACACTCCGTATTTACATCGAACCTATGGAAAATGTTCTGAAAATGACGTCGGCAAAGAAAGTTATTAAGATGCAATTAGTAGGTCCTCTAAAAGGGGAGGAGTCGTCTGGGGTGGAGTCAGCTGTACCATTACGTGAAAGTCTATTCAGCATTGCACAGGTTGATGCGGTTGAAATGAGAAATTAGTGCAACATGAGATTAATAAAATTTGTACAAATTATAATCGCGAAAAGAGGCGTGGCATTCTGGGACGGGGTCCACCATGAAGCCCAATGACACAAATGTTTCATTCGAATACCCGACACTCTCATACAAAATTAAATAAGCTTACCGATCATTGCAAAAATGTTCGCATTTTGAATGTGCACATCGATCACCCAAGTAGACAGCATTGTTCTCAGAGACTGGAAAGACTGGACGACCTAACGAATAAAAGCACCGAGTGACCGGTGTAGATCACTGTGAACCCCACACAAAAAATTAGCCAGTCAAACCAGTTGATATCGGGATTGTTTGAGTGAATTCGAAGGTGCCTTGACAGCAACGTGAGAAGGACCTCAGACAAGCGGCCGAGAATCCTGTCGGTGGTGTGCAGGGCTGGTTCTTTGCTATCAATTCGTTAGCTAGTAGACAGCATTCGCAGCATTCCTGCAACGGAAAAACAATTTGATACCGTGAAAAGTGCTCCTTTTTCGATTGGAATCATCTCGACAGTGTTTCTTGAGAGGGTAAAAGCAGCCCAAGGGGCTTACTGATAGCGATACTCGCCCTGTTCAGGAACAATGAGGTAACGAAATCCGTCTGGGGTCTGTACTTTTACCATAAGGGACAACATTCTTTGGCACGTATTGGGACAATTTTTCAGCGTTTTCGTAAGCGGAAATTGCATCTATCAAAACAGAAGAGTGAAGGATGACGTATTCTACGTCAATTCAATATCACACCAACTTGTTGAGTGGACTATGGCCTACACAATGATACAGAGGCCGTCCGTTGTACAATCAGTAGCCGTATTCTCCCAGACAAACATGGTGCCACTTTCGTCCCCGGAGGGTAGAAGCCTTGACTGGTTGGATTTGAGCTCCTGACCGCATGGACGATAAGCGAGCCTTTTGCCTCTACACTACCTCCGCCTTCCTCTCCACTATACCCTTAACAAATTCTTTCACACAAGCACTGGCAGATTATTCTGGACAACATCTTTCACTGCCAGAATGAGAGGAAAAAATTTTAAAATAATTAAAGCGAAAAAATACAGCACTACCACTGTAATGAGGTAATGCTAAAATACCTTTTTCAGTCCTCCGCCTAAACTGTTTATACTGGACGGGCATGTTTCATCTTGTCTAGCGATATCCGTCCCCTCTCCACATGAGGAATCCAGCAACGCACGTAAGCAGCAGATTGATGCTGTTCTAAAAGTTGATCGATTTCAATTATCATTTTCATTTTTCGTTTTTATTTTTCAATTATCAATCCATTTCAGGACATATTCAACCGTTTACTGCGAAGTAATACTAGAGTGATTTATATTCCTGACTTTCAAAGAAACATTGTGCGATTACTCATAGAATTAGAGCCCTGGGACGAAGAGTAGTGCTACTTACTGGGAACAACGCTGTACAAGTTTCGCCTGTAAAGACATACTTCATATCCCGAGGATGGGGTAGGCGTGGTTGTGTGTTTCATTTCAACATGGCGTCGATCGTGCTTCTGTTGTGACATTTTCGTTCTGCGACGAATGCAATCATGTCCAGCACTATACACGATGGCAGTTCTTTCAACAGGATACCCCGTGAAAGACACCGTACCCCATATTAGAGTGAAGACATCAGCCACGCCCCATGAAATGTGGGTACGCTGGAGCGCGAAATCGCTCAAGTGGCTCCTCCCAAGCGCAAGTGACTCCGCCCATGCAGGTGTGTGCGGTTTCGCACGTTTGCGTGCTCCCCGCTACTTTAGCCATTCCTTAGCAAAACCCCACAAAATTCACATTCACTTCTGTATTCAAGCAAGTTACCCATGATCTTCGCGAAAGGCGCCTCTAGGAGGCAAATTACCCTTGAGGGAGGACTTCTGGTGCTGCCCGACTTGGGGTCGGTTGAGGGGTCTTTGCATTGTTCATGTACTTTTCATGCTAGTTCTGTTGCTAGTTCATGTTAACTAACAAATTTCACCTGGGTGAATTTTGTAGTCTCGTGTGAAGCTGCAAACTGGTACAAGTAAGTCCCTTTGATTACAGTAATCTACATGTCTTCACAAGGTGATCCTGTACTGGCTCCGCTGAATACCATTGGTGCCCCCACCAAGCCCAGCGGCGCCGAAACTATGAAGCGATTCTATAAAGGAAACAGCCAAAATGTTTTGCTTTTGATGATCTGTCTTAGATCCATCGTAACTTTTCCTGTTAGGAATTGTAGAACTGATAAAAGTTTGTGGTATTATTGGCTGTCAATAAGAAACGTCTTACCTTAGACAGCTTGCCTTGGATCCTACGGATTTTAGATTCGAGCAGGTATGTGTCTGTTGGTAATGTCGCGCTCCACCTGAACAGCAACGCGAAAGCTCGTTACTGTTGACGATTGCTAGAACAAATGTCAATTAGCCAAGTGATTAACGTGATATTGATTAGTAAGCTCTGTATACAGGGGGGGCCAAAAAAAAGTCATTTTGCCTCCATGACTTTCAAGGCGCTATAAGTTACACTTTATTAAATTTTTATCGGACATTTTTACTACCATATTAAAGAGCACATTAAATACTATAACGATACTCCAGCCTTCTGGAGGAGCGCCATCGAGAGATTCGGCCGCGCGAAGTGAGTGGGTACCGGAGTTGAGCGAGATCGTTGATTTCTCCGCCACTGTAGACCACCCTGTTGAGCCCGCCGAACCGACAGTAATTGAGGGGGTTTAGTTCAGGACCCCCGCTTAAACACTCCACCTTTTCCAGGTACTGAACGTTCTTCCATTCCAAGTAGGCGAAAGTTTTTCCAACGCCCTTCGATTCCACGTGGTGGCACCCAATGCTGTAGCAGTACAAAGTTTCCAAGAAGGTACGGGCGACGACATGTGGGGACTATATTCTTCTTGAGTTGGTCGATGTAACCGCCAGCGCTCAGCTTCAGCCCGGGGTCCACGAAGAAAATATCGGTTCATTCATTCCATGTACGGCCGGTCCACACCATCAACCCGCGCCTTGGTGAATGGGGTGAAGATGATGTCCTGGACCGTAGCGACGTTGCCGGAGCTGCTCGATGTTTGAGGTCTTGCAGATCAAGAGTACTGGTCTCCAGGTAGCTATCCATGGGTGATTCCATTCAAGAAGTTCCGCAGGCTATTTTTGGAGCGGGCAGCGTGAATTCCAAAGGCGTTCTTCTCACTGTCAGGCCGCGACTGGGAGATGACTTATATTGGGTGTACTATGAAGGTTGAATGCGACAGCCCGGCTCCTGCTTTATAGAAGGAAGATCTTGGAGTATTTCGGCGCTTGGTAACTATATACAGCGTTCCTCTGTCTGTGGCTGCGACAACTTCGGCTGATGTTCATATGAAGACTCGCGCAATGACTTTTTTTTTCGGCCACCCGCTGCAGTGAGGCCTTGCTTTTGTAGCAAGCACGCGCATCGTAATACGTCTCAGCCATGTGTATTCCTCACTTCATCCGTCCAATTCGCTGGTGACCATTGACCAAATCTTGTAACATTCTGAGGTGTTCTCTAACAGCGCAGCTCATCAGTTTTTGCGATTTTGGTCGTGGAAGGCTCCATAATCTCTTCATGGGGGGCGCAGCTTAGCTCGATGTGAGCTCCTTTCATGCTCTCCTAAACAATACACCTAAATCCATAACTTACCTGAGCACCTCAGATGTACTGTATCCCCTCTCGAGGAGAATTCTAGAATGCCCTCGAGAAAGGAACATGACCAAATGATCAACCAAACCACCCATGGCACTTGTTCGTGAAAAACTTTCGAGTACCAGTGAGACGTGGATGTGGTAGTCGCTGTGATTTACAGTGATGTTCATACTGCTAGTTCATTTGTGCCTAGGAGGGAGGTTGAAAACACTTTTGGGAGGTTCAGAACACTTTTACCCTCGAGCTTTATCCATATTCGCATAAAACCGTGCATGGAAGTAGGAACATTGATTTCGGGAGTAATTTCCAACACTGGCAGGCCGTTAACGAAAAACCATGACCCCTGCCAACCGTTGCCTTTTTTCTTTTGGATGTCGTTCAAGTGGTCAAAACTGTCACAGATAAGAACTCACCTAAAAACGTGCTCCACAATATCAAAACAGGTACTAAGGCGTTTGTTTTTAACATTGTTCGGGATGATGTGACACTCGACCCAGCTGGAAAAGATAAAATTCCTGATTAAAGAATGCTGATTATAGACGTATTCACAAGTACAGCAATGATCAGGCAAAACAGAAGCCTAGGGCAGATCGTTTTTGGGGAATCCCCAACAGGGGGGAAGGTCGCCAGGAGAGGGGGGTCGTATTTGGGCTGAGAAAAATTTATTTTGATAGTTGATTTTTCTCGCTTCACGGACGTTGTAAAGGGGTCGTTCTTGCT